TTTCTAGCTAAGTCTGAAGTTCACTACTACAGATTAATTATATTACCTGTGAAATGTTAGGAAGTCGACTGTCAGTGACGTCTATTTGAGATATTATTCTTAATGAGAGAGTGAACAATCTGAATAATTTCAAAGTGGGAAAGCATTTACATCCATGCTAAAATGTCCAATGTAAAAAAGAACAGAGAAAGAAGGACATGTTGTGGGGATCTAATAAGACAGGTGTGTCAATGTTTCGAGCAAGTAACTGATAATCTATGATCATCACATGAATGCCTATTCTTGTGCCTAGTTCATTAGTGTAATACTCAAATATTGATTAAGTGTTACTTGAAATCACTGAGATATATTTTCGATATTATCATTATTTCTTTTTTTTTCTTTGTGACATGTGACTTAAAAAAACAACAGTTTGGGAGCTCTAAGCCAAATATCTAAAATTCTTACTGAAGAATGGTGGTAAGTTTTAAACCATCATTTTACTTACTGAAAGAAAACAGATTAAGATGCTGACAAAAGTACACAGACATTGTGAATATTAATCAATGTTTCATAGCTGTATCTTTAATGCTTTGATTAGTCACACTAATTTTGAGGACATATCATAAACTGCTTAAAACAATCATATGCTCCTTGGTATCTTAAAAATGTACAATTAATTAAATACATAAAAATAAGATATGTTATTCACAAAAGTCCTCCAAAACTATGTGACTGTACATACCTGTGGTGATTAAAATAAAAATATCAACTAAAAGAACAGGACAGGAGTAAAGCAGAAAAACATACAAACCATGCAGTGTTAATGCAATCTGCGTTAGTAGAGCGAGCGTGCAGACAGACAACATATGTAGTGTCTCATGCAAAATCAACGGATTAAAGCTTCTTACATGGAGCACAACGCGGTGGTCATGAAACTCTGCATCCAATTTCTGTAATCAGATGGGATGGGAAAAAAACACACAGACAATCCTGGTTAATAAGCCTATCCCACTGCTTTATTTAGGGGGAGGGGGGATAAATAACTATAAACTAAGGAGAGAAAGAAATGTTAAAAAAAACTAATAATAATAGAAAAATAAAACAAAACCTTTCATTCAGTATAAAAGAGGATGTAATTTACTTCAGAAAATGTGCAAGTTTGCTGTCTTCCAATTCTTCTGAATGGCAGTGCTTATAAAACTTTTTGTGCACTGGCTGAAGTATGGAAATCAGCCCAAGTATCAGCTTGAATGCTTCATACTCATAACATCCAAGAATTCTGCTAATCTATGCTGCAACTGTGACATGGTAAATTATTGTCGCATAAGCAACTGAACTAATCTACGGTACCCCTAAGATAGCCTTTATTTCATTCCATTCTACAAATTTGAAGCCAACAGCAATATTCAGCCTCCAGGAAACCTCTAAGATCACAAATAAATAAAATTGGAATAAGGTGTGAAAGTAAATTATGGTGCTTATATGTATGAAAAAATATTCCAGAAACAGCTCCAGTTCTCCCTTTTTTTCATATCATCTTTTAATCTAAATTAAACTGCCTATTGCATTATAAAAATATTCCTGGTTATAGCTCCCTTTACCAAAACTTTTGCTTCAATTCTTTGCTTACAAAACTCAAACATCAGAGCTCTTTCAACCAAAATCAAAGTTGAAAAAATAAACTCATGTAGACACTCATGTACCTATTCAGTAACAGAATTCCTCCTCCCTCTCCTAATAGAGTATTCATGAATTTTACTTGGTTATAAATGTAAACAATACTGTATACTAGAAGTTATCCTCTAAGTATTTTAGCTGAAATTTCCTTCTTGATGTTTTATCATGTGCTAGCTATTCAACAATTTCCAAACCTGCTATCTTGAATTTCCTCTCTTCCTTATCTGCTGTTCAACCCTCTTCCTTATCATTCATCTCCTATTCATCCCGTAGTCCTTTAAATTATCAAATTATATAAAAAAAAACTGTCAGCCAATAAACATGGTAAAAATTGACTATCCTAAATGATTAGGATTTTTAACTCCATAGTTTCATGAGTGTTGATTTCTGTTGGAATTTTGAATATCAATTGGAATTCAAAGGTAATCATATATTAAAACTGGCTTTATTTGAACAATAATTTCCATGAAAGATTTCAGAACAAGGCAATCTTAAAAACTTGCCTAAAATTGGATCCATATCCAAATTTGCATTTGCATATATGACTGAATTTGAACAAAGAGAAATTCTCTGTATTCTTGGTTAATGTCTTTCAATATCTTTTGTACTGTGCTTCCTCACAATGCCATACTTTTTTCTCTCTCCCACTGCAACCATTACAGTAAATATACATTAAATTTGACTTTTTCATTTCTGCCTCTATGGATCCCTCTGACACATGACCCCAGCAATGAAATGCCTTATCAAATGAGGCTGAGTTTCTCATAATCTGGGGATGCTACACTTCCAAATGCTCTTTCTGTTGGCAAATTTATTCCCTGATTTGGTAAGACAACAAAGG